TAAAATGTAAAATGTAAAATATATATATATATATATATATATATATATATATATACAGTACATATTATGTCTACTTTTCTGGTATGTTATTTACAAACATTACCCTCATTGGAGAAGGAGATATTTACAATAAATATTATTTTGTTCTGTCTCATTTGAAATAGCGTCTTGCTTTGTGGCACAGGCTGGCCTCTGCCTCTTCATTCTCCTGCCTCAGCCTCTTAAGTGCTGAGATCACCAGTGCAGTATTCCACCAAGAAATAGGTGGAAATACTTATTAACATGGTCATTTGGTTACCATTGATCTCCCTTGTTGGACTGTGAATTCCACTATAGGAGACATGCATGTTTATTTTAGTACTGTGATTTCAGTGCTTAATGCTGGAAGCATTATTCTGAATAAATAAAGACAGTTTCTCTTTAATTTATGCTGAACATACATAGCAGATGGTATGGCTAATTTTTTTTTTATTATCTCTCTCTGAAGGAGGGTCAAATTTTCACCATTTGAAAAAACTGTACTTCAAAATTCTTCAAGCAGTAATTTGTTAGACATACTTGAGAATACCATGGAAGAATGTGTTTGAAGAGTAGCTCTTCCTGTTGGCTAGTTGCCCTGACTGTCTGAACAGGCCTCCCTGATGGTGTGGGTATGCAATAGAGAGCCAGAGGAAGCTTTGTAGCCTCCTCTTCATGCTGTGAGAACCCTATGCTCTTCCATGATCCAGCTTTAGTGATTTTAACAGACGGGTTTAATCCATAAAAATGAAAAACATTTCCCATCACAAAACCATTTCCTGCCTCCCAAGGTAAAGTAAAACTCTCCCTGAGGAAATGATGTAAATGTGCTCAAATATTCTAAAATATTGTTTTGAAAGAAGCCATAGTTTTTTACATTCACATTTAAAAACATGAATGAGGTAGCAGAAAAAAACAGGGGGGAGGAAATGCTTTCCAATCTCCATGTCATTTGTGATCTTCTCTAAGCCTCAAACCGTTGTCTGTAAAATGGGCTGACAAAAAAATGTGTATCATGTCATGAGGAATTGTAAGCAGTCAATTAACAAATGGTGATATGAGTCTACACTGCTGCCCTGGTGTCACCACAATGCCTACTAGATCCCATTCTTTCAGCCGCTTCAGTCCGTGACCCTTTTCTTTGTGGCTAGCAGGCAGCACATCCGTTCATTTCCTTCATCACAGACACAAGCAATCTCCTGTTATTATACTCAAAGGGAGGTTGGAAGCTGCTGATTCTGGAGTTGACAACAATGGTCTGGTTCTAACAGATCTTCTGGGGAGATCCATGGGACACTCAAACCTCACCACAGTCTTTTAAAGATGGATAAAGAGAGAAGCTGGAGTCAAGAACCCTGTGGAAACAGTAATTTCAGTGCTGTGTGAGTTTAAACTTTAACAGCTTTGGTATCCATCTGTGAAATGTCATTTCTGTTAGTTCCATCCTATAGCTCAAACAATAGAAAAATCACACACCCAGCCCTGTAAAACTCTGCAATTTCTCTATAACGTATGGGCACTCAAGCTACACTAATTTATTCTATAATTTCTTTTTATTTTTTTAGCATTTTTATTTGACTCTTACACTACATAATTAATGGTGTTTACACGGAAAGGTTGTTTAACTAATGTAAATGGCATAAGTGGATTACTTGAGCAAGCCTTAAAACAAATAAGCACTTTTCCCCTTTGAAATTTTTTTCACTCTCCTCTAAATGTCTGGCACAAGAGCAGAGTTTTTGAAAATGTCAAAGGAGATATACAAATCAGGTTTCTGAGGTCCATTCTTTCCTGGTGGAACGGGCTTATAATTCTGTTTCCTCCTGAAATGATTGGCCTGGAGGCAGTCAGCAATGACCCAACGACCCAACACATCCCAGTCTCAGAAGCACATCTTTTCTTTGGGAGTTTGCCACTGTTTTTCTCCACGACCTTAAACATAACCTAATATCTGGCCCTTTCAGATCATTTCCTGCAGTTGGAAGTACCTAGAAAGAGTGACAGATGAGATAAACAAATATGCTCATCATAAAAACCAGAAAAACACCAGGGAACTCCTCCCAGGTCTCTGAATATTTCTACCATTGTTCACCCAACAGTGGCAATTACTGATAGCCCCTCCTAGTCAAAGTCCAGGTTCCATGTTCTTTGAGTGGCAGCACAACCCAGGTTACTGTAAAATAGGGCAGGCATGATGACTGCTCCCTGCCAAGATATTGCTTTCTTAAAGCATTCTGAAGGAAACACTTTTGTACCAACAGCCATTTCTTTGCTTCTGCTTTTCTCAGAGACAAAGCCAAGGGGAAAGAATGAATCTACTGCCTCCCACACCCACACGTCTGGCCCCTCTGAGGCCTTAAATGGAAGGGCTAACTTCAAGTCATTTCTGGAAGAACCGATACTCGAGTTATCTAAGGAGTTGCAGACCAGCCCTTTCAAGCGGGTTTTTCTAGAGTTTCACTGATGTCTCAGATATAAACAACTGAGCGAACAGTCTTGAGGTCTAAGCATAAAACTCGGGTTCCAAAGTAGTTAGAACACAGTCGGCCATGTCAGTTCTCAAGACAAACACTAGAACTGGAGACCACAGAAGACAACACATCAATCAAAGGCCTACACAAATACAAAAAGAGTAAACAAAATAGATACACCTAGTGCTATCTAAAGACCTTCAGTCTTAGCTTCACATCATTCGAAACACACCTAAAGCGGTGAAATAGCTCATGTTTAATATTCTTTCTATAAAAATAAATGTGTAATTTTGTTTTTGAAATTATTTAGCTAAAGTAACTGACAAATCCACCACAGTGTCTGTGTGTTCATGGCATTGCAGAAGCTCTCTCATGTGTTCAGACTGTCTTCAACAAGGACTTGTTTTCAGTGAATGCTAAATCAAGCCATTGACACTCACACAATGTTCTACTTTGTGACCCTTGAATAAATGTTTATAATTTTGCTGTGGCCAATTTTTTTTAAGATAATCATTTTTCCTGTTCAAACTTCAGAAATTTTCTCAAACAAAGGCCCTACGCTTGGCACAGAGAGATGGGAAATGTGGACCTAGAAGCCAAATTGTTCAGCTGGGATAAAGGCCTTAACATAGACATTCCCAAGGTGATCAGGCTCTGTTAGCTGAATCCTTGGGAATTCACAACCATTTCAGGGAACTTCCATCCTCAAATGAAACTGTTTATATACATTCCAAGTCCTGTGCTACTACTTAAAAACTGTATAATCACCCAAAAAAGATCTTACTAATTAAACACTAGCTCTGGAAATGAATTTTGACTCCTTGGGGAAATGTATGTACCTGTAACCAGGGCTGCAGAGCTATCATCAAGACCTATGAGAAAAACATTCATCTTCAGTTTGTAAAATCAAATTTCATACATCCAACTGACTATATAAAACTTCATTTTCCAGCAAATAAACATGAAATTTGGAAGCTGACCTGGAATTTCATTTCTAGGAAGCTTTTCTATCACTCCACAAAACGTACAATATGTATGCTCTACCAAGGTACTTATAGCTAGACACAACATTAGTTCTTAAGAAATACTCTATTTGTAGCTGTTAGAGAGTGACATTTTCCTGCTCAGAAAGATTAGGACTTATCAGAGCATATCAACAAAAAATAATCATAGGCCTTTTCAAAGGTCTCAAATCCTCTTTTGGCTGTCGACAAATGCTGAAGTGATAGAGTATGAACTTGAAAATTCCACTTTCAAATTGTGTCCTCTACCAATATCATATAATCAATATGGTTTGTTTAAGAGATCCATTACTAACCTGTTTTATCTTTTTTTCTTTTTAAGCACTGAATACAAAGCGCTTTTATTTCAGCCATGAGCCCACAGGTACTGGCAACTGAAATGAAATTCTAATATGCTAGTTTCTATCTGTGAGGATATAGTCAAGTTATTAAGCCTCCGTTTCATCATCTGTAAAATGGTACTTAATAAGACTTGTTCACAGGATTGAATATGTTAATGAGCACCAAGCTTTGGGTGAGCAATCAATAAATATTAGCGTATTATTATACTGATTACCCATCATTTTCTTATTACTTATAATACCACCACACCTGTAGCCTATACAACTTAGTCACCCCTGTCGTTCCTGACTGTTCCACCTATACTAAACCATTATCTAAGCTGAGAGATCTTCTTAGAAAACAAAAACAGTTATTCCAGTTCCCCTTTCTGAAGAGGGACATAGTCAATCAGAAAATATGACAGCAGCCCCAGCACAAACCTGCCCTGGCTACCAAGTCTTACTCAGGCTTAAAATCTTCTGCCTCTTTTCATCCCTCTTCCCCGATTCCCTTCAAGTTTTAGCCATATTAGTCACTCGGCTGTGTATGGCCCAGGAAATGTTCCTTCTTCCTGGAGTTCTGCCCCTGGGCCTAGGTCGGTCAGACACCAGCACAAAAGGTACTTCTCTAACTAGCTGCTGATATGCCTATCTTTTCAGAAGTCATATTCCTTCCCGTCAAAATGCTTAACCTTAAATGCATAAACTATTTAAAGGATCATTTTCCCCATGTCTGTCTTGCCTACAAGATTGTAAGGTTGTAAATGAGAGGAAGTACAGCTCCCAGTTTTGCTCATGCTGTTCCTTATAACCCAGTTCAGGCCCACCCCAAACCAGGAGGAAGTCGGCAAATACTTCCTTAATAAATGAATGAACACATACAGGGAGTGGTTAAAATGGCCAGTTTCAAAACGCTGCCTCCCAACCCCCAGGCTGTTTCCTAAACACGCAGAGCCTCTTCTCTATGTCTTCTCTTCCTCCCTTCCTTTCGTCTCTTCCTGTTTGCTTTCTTTTCAATCCATTTTAGCTGGGCCTTCTCTTCATGTACTATGATTCAGGAGGCACCAGCCCAGGGAGGAGAGAAGGACCTGGGGAGGAAGGAGCCCAGGCGGCAGGGCGGCGCCCGCGGGCCGGAAGTGCGGCGCGCAGCGGAAGTGCGGCGGGAGGAAGCGGCATCCGGGCGGCCTGAGGCTGAGGTGGGTAGTGGCGCCGGCGCTGCGGTGAGCGCTCCAGGTTTCCCGGTGTTAGCTCGCGGCCGCGGGAAAAGGCCGCGAGCCCTCCGCAGTGCGGCGCGCTGCGGACTTCCAGTGCAGTTAGTGGGGATTTAATTAAGCCGGGAGCTATAAATCCCTGAGCCACTGGGGGGAGATTGTAAACGCGCGCCCGTGATGGCGCTCTGGGAACTGAATAAATGACGGAAGGGAAAAATACAGCTTTTCGAAGAAAGCAGAAAATGTCTTAACTCATGCTTCTTCCAGTGATTCACAGATGCCCTGGTCCCAGGTTTAATTGAATTCTATGAAGTGGCAATATCACACTTGACAGCCTGCTGAGTTGACTGCCTTTTTAAGTAAGTGGTTTTGAGCAGCCATGTTGACCTTTAATTGGGGTGAAAAGGTTGAAAAGTGCAGGAGGGAACATTGCGAGTGCTGAACCCCTCTGGACCCGGCTGTCTGGACCCCATCTTTGCTTTATTGGGTAGAAGCAGCCCTTTGGGCCTGTGGACAATAAAAGAATAAATCAGACTTCACAGTTCCCAACAAGCACTTAGCCATGTCACTCACCTCTGACAAACACCAACTAATACAATTTTTAGTAAGACCAAAGATAGAAAAGCCTCTGAGTTGCCACTAATGTGAATTTGTGGCCAATTGTTTCTAAGGCTCTCTTTAAATGGGTTTTTGCCTGTCTTTATTCTTATTCTTACTAATCATGTTTATGTAAAACTATTTTAGTGCTCTTTAAAAAAAAAAAAAACCCACAAAACAAAAACCTACTGTGTGGTCTAGTGTGACCCAAAGATTCTTGGTTCCTTAAGCACAGCGATGGTGTTTAGACTGTTATTTCCCAATACTAGTAGTACATTTCTCAACCAAAGATGAGCAACTGTAACTACACATTGGTTAACTAGTCACTCCCTCCAGTGTCTTGGTTGGACATTGAATAAGTTGAGATGGCTCTTAGAGGCCATGGGCATCTCATTTATTTTGTGGGACAACTTACAAAAATGTACAGGATGCTCCCTACCAATATTTAGAAGCATATGCATGAGGTGTATAATAGGTAAAGAGGAGAGAATAAAATGCAAGAGAAACAGCACTGTGGTGGTACTTGCCTCTAGTCTCAACACTGTGCTTTAGGCTGACAGATCTCAAGTCTGGACCAGCCCTCAAGACACAGTAAGACCTTGTTTCAACAAACAACCACCAGCAGCAGAGACATGGAAACAAGTCTGCCCTGGAAAATGCTGAGTTATTGTTTCTCTGGGATAAGGCAGAACTAATCATGGTTCTATGTGAGATGTTGAAACCTAATCCTGGGTCCTGCTGTACTGAGGAATTGCCTGGGACCAGAAAGGCCCAGTTGTGAAATTAAAATCTATGGGCTACTTTAAACAGGCCCCAAAATATCCTTTGTTTGCTCTGGTCCACTTGAAGCTACCTGCCAGAAAAGGATCAATAGTTTTTGTCTCTCTTGCTGGAGGAATATGCAGCTATGTAGTTCTTTTTTTTATTTAGACAGACTATTGACAGATGAGTAATAGGAATGAATATTTTTCTAACTTGGAGAATTTATTGAGCTGTGTTTCTATTTTGTTCCAGTTGACTGACTGTATTGTACTCACAGGAACACTGTACCCAGAGGCACTGTGGAGAGATCCTTTAAGAATAAGTTTGTTTTAATTAAAGTTTTCGTATCTTGTATCTATTCTAGCTGGCCAATATATTTAGTTACTAGTGCTCATAGTTGAGATTTCAAATGCAGTAAGACAGTGAGGTGATCTGGTGTGAACTAGTGAGGGGTTTTGTTCCTTATTATAAATCTAGTTTTTTGCACTTTATCCAAGGGATATACATCAGAAGAAGCCACAAGCCAGCCGGAATAGCTCCTGGATGAGATTTAATTCCTGTTTGCAATTGTTTCGAAGTGGGGGGGATACCCTCTGGATCAGGTATGTGTGGCTCTACAAGTAACAGGACTGAGTGAGAGTCTATAATTCTTCCCTTTGAATATCTAGCAAGTTCTAGGGTTGGGTTTCAGGGGAAAACAAGTAAAATGAAAAGCTGTGGCTAATTCACATAGATGTATGATTGCATCTCTCTAAACCCGTTCCTGTGCTGGTAGGCACTGGGATTAGGAAGCACAAAGACTATATTCTTTTTATTTTAGTTTTTATTCAAGAGCTAACTTCCTAGAGAGGTAAGCAAAATTTAAAACATCTGCTGTATCTAGAAAGTATCAGTCTTCAGTTCGTGATTCTAGAGGCTACAAAATGTAAATACACGGATGCTAAAGTCTTGGCAAGGGCACCCTGGCTACGGCCCATCACACTAGGAAACTCAAAGGGATCTTACATGTTCAGAAGGAAGCAACATTAACTCCCCTTCCCTCTTATTTGCCATAGTTTTCCACCATCAGATGTCTTCTAGGCTCTGCTTCTTAATGCTACCTCACCATTGCCATATTGGGGGTGGAGCTTCCAACACTTGAACATGCTCAATGCATCCAACACTAAACATCACTAGTAACTAGTAATGGCTATTTTACTTTGTTAGTCTCCCTTACTGTGCAGTTGTGTTGTGAATCTTCCCTCTGCCCCGAGTTTCTTAAGGGCAGGGACAGTGTCATAACCACTTTTATGTTTCTAGTACATGACTCACTACACACACTGAGTTCATGCCATGGACTGGCATGAAAAGGCAGTGTCCCTCAGGGGGACATCTACAACTGTAGAGAACATGAAAACATCTGGGGAAGCAGTAGAGAGAAAAGAAGAAAAGCAAGAATCACCTTCCAGGGAGTGACTAAGTACAGTCAGAAATAATGTGTTCACTAACAGCTTGAACCTGGGAAGGGTATGATTGAAAATCCACAGATTGTCACCAAGCTGACACCTGAGCAGATCCACCTAGGAAACTGTAGAGCATTTGTTGAGTTGGATACACAGGCTGATAGGCCCAACAGCTCTCTGTATCTTCACTCCTTCCAGACTTACTGTACCCAACCCTTCATCCAAGTATCCATTCAGCAGATATTTGAAGAATAAACTATGAAGGTATGCCAAATTACTAACTTACCCAGGTCACCAGCATCTTGGTTTGATCCTATCTCAAGATCCTGTCTCAAGGACCTGTCATGTTACTATTCCCAACTAAATTGCTCAAATGGTCATTAGTGTGCTAAAAGTATGATATAACTTTCATCTCAGTTAAGAACCTTCTGCCTTGGTCCTGTGAAGGCTCAATGCCCCAATATAGGGGAATGCCAGAGTGGTGAGGTGGGAGTGGGTGGGTGAGTGGGGGAGCACCCTCGGAGAAGCAAGGAGAGTGGGAGGGGATAGGGGCTTGCAGAAGGGAAACTGGGAAAAGGGATAACATTTGAAATGTAAATAAATAAAATATCCAAAAAAAAAAAGAACCACCCTTCTGAATCCATTGACTTCATCTAGAATTCTTATTGCTAGTATTTAGTGTACGAAGTTGATGTAAGCTTTATTTGGAGAGAAATAAGCTAATCACCAGGATAGATGAAGGAAAATGTAATGGTCTAATTTTACTGAGAATTAGAAGGGATGTTCATGTATTACATGTTAGGTATGTAAATTATTACTTTAATAAAATTGTGATCTTAACTGTATCGACAAGTCCTGAACTTCAAGCAGCCAAAGAACATTTTCAAAATGTTCTTGCAGACTGATATTGTGTAAATGCAATTGAATGTGGCACCAAAGGACTTGAAACAAAGATATCCAATCTCTATTCCATGATCTGAGAGGAGCCAAGGAAGCCTTGAGTGAATGTATGTTGTTCATGTAGCACAACCGTGTCAAAGACAAATTCCCCAAGCTCATGGGAAACTGCATAGTCAGGGTGAAGCTGGGCAGCGTGTCGTATACAGTAGCCCACAAGTGGACATCAGGATCCATGCTGTAATATCCTGTCTGATTTGATACCACCTTCTTAGTCACCCAGGCCAGGTACCATAACTGTGGGGCTGAAGCCCTGGAACAGCGCCTGAGATTCCACCCACATTAGTAAATTGAGGCCTTGCCTTCCTGTACCCCTTGGAATTGACACCTCAGAGTATCTGTTTACTGGGAAGTTTATGTTTTATCTCTGTCCATACAGTGGTGCCTTTCCTCATCACTTCCAACTGCACAAGTGCCCTGTCATAGATCTCAAGTTACATTCCAGTTTATTCAGAAGGGACTAAGGTTCAAATACAGCTGGTTGCAAACTCAAAGATGAGTGCTGGGGGCATCATGTGTCCCTCTTTCTGTAGGTTAGGTAGAACCCGGTGACCAGAATCTTCACCTCAGCAACCTTACCTGATGACATAACTTTCAGTATCCTAAAATATGGGGCTTGTTCCCAAAAGAGGGGTGTGTGTTTCTTTTCATTTGGATAAAAATAGAACTGCTATACCTAGATGGTAATGCGTCTGAAGTGGAACATTTAACGTCTCACATGGCACAAATGACTACACAGAAGCCTTGAGCTAGCTCTCTTTATAGAACATAGGTTCAGCAAGAGCGATGATAATAGTATTTGGTTAATGTCAGCTCAGCATTAAATTTACATTATAGTCTTGTGCAGAAGCTCCAGCATTATCTGTTAATAACCAAGGCGGTACCTGGGCTTATATAGACTTCTTGATTTTGCACATGAACTAACACTGCAGCTTGCTGATGAATGATTATGTGAGCTTAGAGCTTTGGTGTGCCAAAGGACTCTTTGTATGAATAAAATTCTGGTCAGTGAAGGTCAGTTTCTCTACTCAAGCGAGAACAATGTTGTTTCCCTCCTAATCAGATGCATACAGTGTTTGAAAGATCCAGGAGCCCTACATAAGTGATGTGCAGCCATAGCCTGGGCAGCTCGTCATGCTGAAATGAATAATCCTTAATAAAGGCTCAAACAACCATAACATCTTCCTGTACTATAATCAGTTGCTTTCATGGTGTGCCCTTCAGTGCTTCTTGGGGAAATGCTATAAAGTTAAGTTATCTTCTCTATCTTGCTTCAAGGAAGGCTGAATTGTTCCAATCAGTCCTCCCCCCATGTTGTATTTGATTCTGCCATAAAGACCAATGAAGTCTGCCTCAGTGTGTTGGAAGGCCAGTGTGTTGGAAGGCCAGTTTCCCTTCTCTTTTAGGGGATCTGAGCCTCTGAGTAGCACTGGACTTGAAACAGCAGGAGTCACCGTCTTTATTGTTAGGCATCAGAATTTTCTTTAAGCACATTCTAAATCCAGTTTTATGCTTTTCCTACTTTCTTCCAGTCTGTGACAAAGGTGACCCAATTGTGCTTCTTTGATATTATGAAGGCAGTTCTTTGTGTTCCTGTCACACAGATTTATAACAAAATACAAAGGATAAAACTGTGTCTGTCTGTATAATAGGAAAACTTATTTCATGACTAAAGTGACATAATTTTAAAACAATGTTATCAGTAAGACGTAGTCATACAAGTTCTTAATCTCAGCTACTCAGAAGGCCAGGGCAGGAGGACTACAGGTTCAAGGCCAACCTGCACTACAGAGTGGGTTCAAGGCCAGTCTCGACTATTTAGTGAATCTCTTAAGCTTTTGCTCAGTATTTGTGAGTCCCTGAGTTCAGTTCCAGTACAGAGAATTGGGAGGAAATGTAACAACTCACAATTGGGAGCTAATAGAACCAGACCACTTTTCAGGATTTTTTTTTATAGTACTAAGATATGGTTCAAAGATAATTGAACTAATGAAAATGTCACAGTGATAGAGTAGCCCACATAAAGATTTTACTCCAAGAAGGCATAATTTGGTGAATGTGACTTTGACAGCAATGGCATTGGGGTTTACAGAGTTAGTAAAATAATCTCAGAAGAGCTTAAAAGTGTTCCCATCAGTGTATATCTTTTTTTTTTTTCATTTAATCTTTACAGCCATAAGTGAACTTCAAGAATTAAGAAATTTTAGCTTTAATATCTGTCTAGGTAAAGAATAAAGAGCTTTTTCTTTATATCAACTCTAATATAAATTTATAATATACTATGAAAGAAATAAGTTAATTGAACAATTTAGTAAAAATGCATATACCATAGGCCATTAAAAATATGCAAGTTGTAAAACTACATAGCATTGATGCCTTGCACAGGAAATAAACATGCCAGGTTTAAGCAATTAAAATTGCATGAGAAAGCAGCAGTAGAGAAGAGAGAACAGCAGTAGTTGTAAGCTGAGTGGCTGCAACATCACTGAAGACCCTGCCTAGCTCTCTGGTTATTGAACAAATATTCCACCCAATCTGGAATGCATGGCAGCTCTGTTTACTATGACAGGCTTTATTTGTCTTGGCTGCAGCCAAGACCACATGCTGTGTTTTGTCATGTTGGAAATACTGAAGCTGTTTTCCATTGTGGATGTGAATTTTTTTTAAAGCCTTAACACCTCAGTCTCAAGTCAGCTAGTAATAAGTTTTCCTTTCTTTTCCAGCCAAACATCAATAAATCTTCTTTCCCTCCAACCAAAAAGAAGTAGCTGTAGTTCCCAATCCTGGTTATAGTGTTGGTACACTGCCACAGAAGGCCATCCTTCTCATTTCCAAGGACTATATCGCTACCATTTATAAAGCTAATTTTTTTTCATTTACACCTCCTCCATATATAGTACAATTTCTTTATCAACACCTTATTTTACAAGAGAGTGCCATTGGCACCATAGAGTCCTTCCAAATCCAGTGATTTGGAAATGTCTGTCTACCCATTGCCCATGCTTAGAAATGTGGGGCAGATAGATAAATACCCACCTTTAACATTCAGTTGCCCCCTTCATTTCTGCCCTGAGTAATCAAAGCTGTGTCTTCAACTACATTCACCTTCTGGAGTTGTTGATGCTGTTGAATTCACAGAAAATGTGGATGCTAAGACCTAACACTTAGTTGAGAGTCTCCATAGAATATTGTGGCATTGCTTAATTCACTTTCCAAAGTAATTCTAAGTAGCAGATTCCTGCAGGTCAGATAGTTACCAGGGAAATCTGGGTAGAAGTGGAAGGGTAGAGGCTTATGAGTAAAGGAAAGATCATTGCTTTCATGGATCAGTGGCTGAGCTTTTTGTCCTGTGGTCTTTATCGTACCTTGATATGGGTTGGTAGTTTTTTTCTAAAGTCTTATCGTTTGGTCTGAAGTAAGTTTAAGGCTAATTTACACTTAGAGGCCTAGTAGCCAGGAAAGAGTAGCACGGAATAAAGTCATCCTCTGCTCTGTGAAGTAGGGCACAGGAGATTTGAAGTGGTGGCAGTACCAACTGCAGCGTTTCAGTCCAGAGTCAATAGGCACCCTGAAGAGCAGTAACCTTTAGTTTGGAGGGAAGCCTAAAGAATGACTGCTGTCCACACTGAGTAATTGAGCAGAGGAGAGATTACAGTAGGAGGGAAAGGCTCACTCTAGTATTTCAGCCCTCAAGAAAATATTTAAGTACCTATTGTGTGCACATTGACTGTGTGTGCTGAGGAATACTGGTGTGAACAATGCCTGTTCTTATAGAGCTCTACTGTAGTAGAAGGGACATAAATTGTAAGTAGTAAGGGACATCCTAAAATGGAAATACGTATAATAATTACACATTAGGTTGATTCACAAAAATATTGTGAATGTGAGGATGGGGAATTACCGACTGGCAAGCATTGGTAAGGGGTCAGAAGACTCTCCAAAGAGGGGATTTGAGTACTAGGGCAAAAATAAGGAGAAACTATGTAAGCTCCCTGTGGAGGAAGAGAGCAAATGCAGGGCTGCTGGTGGGAAAGGGCTCTGGGGGTTACTGCTGCTTGTCAACAGAGGGAAGGAAAATCTGGCAAATACAGTTGGAGAGGAAAAGTGAAATTAAGACGTATGATCCCAGGAAAGTTCATATTGGAAATAGTGGTAAGTGGGACAGGTAACTATACATGTGTGTTTTAGAAGTCAACATTGTAACATTTATAGATTTAGCTACAAAGCAGAAGGCTCAGTGGAATAACTAGGAATCATAGGGTATCTTAGTCAAGCAAAGTAGCAGAATGAGGGAGCATCAAAGTCCAGTGTTTGACATGCTGCTCTTAAACTGTTCCTCTGGAGTCTCTCCAATAAAAACACCAGTGTATTTGTGTTTGAAGCTTTTGAAAATCATGGCACTCTCCTTTTAAAACGCTTCTTAAGGGGTTGAACAGACTTTTTTCCTCACAAGTTAACTCAGACTGATTCGCTCTTAGTTTCTCTTCCTGAAGCTCTGTGCTTCTCCGGCTCTTTCAGTGTAGGACAGAGATCTCCTTGGAGGTGGATTGCTCTTTCAGGTGTGCTGTTGGCTTACTACTGCTTTACCATGGAAGGGGCGGATGGTGCTGGGTGCTTGCCAGTAAGAGTGAACCAACTGTCCTTGGACTAAAAGCCGTCTCAAGACACCTCCACTTATAAGGAGTTATCAGGATGCTAACAACATCTGCAGCTGAAAGTTAATTTCATATTCAAATTAACAAACTCATGAAGTTAGCTTCTAGAAACCAAGTGATTAGGTACAAAACTAATAGAGTTTGTTTTTTTATTGTTGTTGGTTTTTTTTGGTTTTTAATTCTAAATACTGTTTTTCCTGGAGTACAGTGAATTTATTATGGATACTTGCCAAACATCTGGGCCTCTCTGACACTCCTGTACTCCAAGATACAATTCTGAAACTTTCAGATTCAATTATAAGCTTGCAAGTTACTGCTTGTATTCTAAAGAGCAGAGTCAATGGTGCATTAACTTTATTGGCTTATTTTTCTTTTGGCAGAATTAAAATGCTCTGGTTTCAAGGAAATAGCCTGCAGATTGCCAAATCCTCCTTTCGACTCTTGAGAAATCTCTCTGCTTCTAACACAGCTCTGCCTGTGCTGACCTTATTCACAAAGGTACTGAATAGAAAAACAAACTACAACTTAAAAATAAAGTATTATCATTGTTGGGTGAAAAGGTTATGTATATCCCTGAGAATGGGTCAAATCTGTAAAGAAAAGCAGTGGTCAGACCTGGTCTTTAGTTTTTCTTCCTGAGACATTTCATTGCTTCTCAGTTATTGAGGGCACTCTAATACATATAGTGGTCATTTTACCCCTACATTTAAAAAAGAACTATAGATTAGAGTTAGGATGATTAAAATTGTGCTATTTAGAAATAAGTCAGTTCTTGTTATTTGTGGTGATTATGTCCTAAAACATACCATAAACATTGAATGAGCAAATATTAAACCTAGGAAAGTACTGGGTTGGGTTCCCGTGAGCCCTTGGGCACAGTATTTTTGTGAACCAACTAAATGCATAACTTTAGTTTATGTGAGATTCTGTTTAAAGATGTCTCATTCAATCTGTACTGTTTAGTCATTAACATTTTGCTCATGGCCAACAACACCACAACACATGCCTAAATGAAGCTTGTCTGACAGTTGAGTTATCTCCATGAGGCACATCACAGGTTTCTTTTAGCACCATGCTTAGGCTATTTTTTTTAAGTTGTCAACAAAAAACACAACAGCAAAAAAAAAAAAATTGTCACTACCAATACAACAGCACCCATGGGAGTATTTATGAGAATACTAACTTATGTTTACAAAATGGGAGCTAAAACAAGGGCAAAGCATTTCCTCATTGGACCTTACTTTAGAAATGTAAGGTCAACTGGCAACTCAAACTTTTTATAGCTTTTTGCATAAGTGTGTTCATATCTGACTGTAAAAGTGCTTCCAGTATTATTTGAGGGGTTGCAAACTTCATTACACAGGCAGATTCACAAATAAGAATGAATAATGAAGACTGAGTGTATTTGTTTTCTTATCCCTGACACAACTGTTAAGCTACAGAGGTAGTTTAACTGTGTGTGTGTGTGTGTGTGTGTGTGTGTACTCGTGTGTGCATGTGTGTGTATGGAGGTCTGAGGTTGTTACCAGGAGTCTTCCCGCAGTCATTCTCCACCTTATTCCTTGAAGCAGGCTCTCTCAATTGACTACCTTACAAGTACTGGACTTCTCACAAGCCACCATGGCCACCAAGCATTTACAAGGACTCCAAGGATCTGAACCCCAGTCCCCAAGCTTGCACTGCAAGTGCTTTAACCACTGAATCATCTCTTCCCAGCCTTGGTTTAAAGTGTTTAAGAGCTTTTCACCCTGTACATTTGGAGTACATACATCAGTAATGTCTGGTTTTGCTAATTGACATCACTTGGTGGAATTTATAATCAAAAAGAAACATAAAGACATCAGAAGTTACTTTTTTAAACACGTAAATTCAAACAAAAGATCTTTTTTGATAATTTTTCAGATTTTAGCCATTTCATAATTTAAATCTTGCCAGCTGATAACAAAATCTGCCAGATGTGATGATCTACACCTGTGTTCTCCAGCACTTGAGAGTCAGAGTGAGGCAGGAGGATTGTAGCATGTTCAATACCAGTCTAGTACATAGCAAGACCTTATTGGAAGCCCTCTCCCAAGTGCAGTTAAACTAATTTTTAAAAAATGAACTTCTTGTTGAGAATATTTCATCTAAGTTGCTTTTTATATCATCAATATATACTATACTGTTAGAAATTATAGAACCAAAAAATACCCCATTATCTGAGGCAATAGCCCTATGAAGTTAGCTGTACTTACTTGGCCTGTGATTGCCATCCACTTTTTGGTTTCAAGAACAGGTGAAATAGCAAAGAGCATTTCCAAAAAATAGTCAAGCAAATGAAAACCCAACCCAATCTCCTGTTCATTCTTAATATGTATATTGAGCCCTGAAAAGTATATAGTAAGATATAAGCAATAGGCATCCAATAAAAAAGTAGAACTGTCAAGAGTTTGTCCTTTTCCTATGACAAGTAGTCGAGTGCACTTTCCAGATTGAGTTTAAAACAAGAGGTTTTCTGGATAGTTTTGGTTTCTGGTTCCAGAGAGTGCTTGATTCAGGAAATGGGGTTATTAGTAGCTTCAGCTTTTTATCTTCTGGATTAAATTCATCTTCACATTGGCTCTTCTTGATTGGCCCACCCTTGAGTCAATAATAGGCAAAAGAGATAGGATGCCCTGATGATTTGCAACTGTGTCGAGTGCTCCACCCCTCTTGCTTACAGATGGAATTAGCCACATGTCAAGAGTAGTTCGTATGGAACAAAACTGTAGCATTCTTGTTACAAGAAAGGAAGGATTGTGTTAGTGCACAGTTCAAGAACAAAATGAATAATGAGTGCCACGGAGAATCCTCAGAAAGGCCATCCTGACGGTGGCCTTACTTATCCTTTCCAAAGTGTGATGAGCCTCTTCAGAGATACACACTGACATATTTGCATTATTAATTTGTACAAACTCCCACAAGCCTGATTTTTAAGATCAAAACACTCTTTTCAAGTCTCTACTATAAAAGCAAACTATAAAGAAGGGCATTTGGTACATCTTCACTTAGTACAGTCTTGTTTGGTTTTTCTTTTAAGTTCTTATGTTGACCTTTTGACATTCTCAGAAAATTTTAGCATGATTCCCCTGCAGTAACAAACTAACCACAGTCTGTTTATTGCTAATGCTAATAGCAATTTATGAGCTGAATATGGCCAAAATGATCTAGAAATATCCAAATCCTTATTTCAAAACATGCCCTGAGTTAAGCTGAAGAAAAGGCCTGTCTTTTACATGATAGTTTATCTCTTTCTAATGTATTAAAAAGCAGTTTTACCCAAGCAGCAGCAATGCTGAGTCTCTTTTCAGCTCACAGAAGAGAACCTATGGCTAAACTCTTAAGCACAGTGACTAAGAGACCTTTAATAACTGCCAGTCTCTGTTCTCCACACCTTTCCCACAAGACAGTTGACGAGTACAAACAGCAGAGAGGCCTATGCTTCAGGTAGAACATGAGTCCACTGTGGATACCTGTAATACTAACGCAGAAAAAAACACTGGAATGCTACAGTCACTTATCTGAATTGAAGAAAAAAAATTTCCCTATCTCTTTTTAAGGGTAGAACAGTCACTATTTCACTGTCCTGTGATAGAATTATTCCTCTGGACTGAGTAGGAAAAACAGGCTAATGAAGTTCAGTACTCTCCAGTCAGAAAAACTTAAACCATTTAGGTCAGTTGTATGAGGCCACCAAGGTGCTCCTTACTTAGGAAAAGGCAGACCCCTTAGCTAGGTAGATAGGTCCATAAAAAATAAGAAATGTGTAATATGCACACATAAACACATGCCAGTAGTACACATACATATATAAAACAGTAAACAACAACCAAATGCAGAGAGCCAACTATCATGGAATAGTAGCTACTTATGAGATTCTGTGGTTATAATTTGCTTTGGAAATAAAGCAATGTAATTAATCTAATAGAAAACTGTTCTTTAAAGGTAAGTGTAACATGCTTCTGATGTGTGCTTAGTTTTTTCCTTTAGCATGGGGGAGATGGATGTTATACCATATACCTTCCATATGTTATACCATATACCATCTGCCTTTGGGTTTAACATCTTTTGTTCCTCCTGTAGGACCCATGCCCACTGTGTGATGAAGCTAAAGAAGTACTCCAGCCTTACAAAGACAGGGTAACTGTCATATATACAGGTGGGGTGGATATAGTTTACTGTGTAAAGTGTCTACCTGGATCTTTTCTTTAGGAAAAGATTAAATGATTTTCATTTAGAGTTTATTTCTGTTCCTCAGAGACCTCAGTACTAATTTCGATGGAACTCATTACCTGAATAGTGCTAGACTTTTTTCTATCACTGATCCTTGCTGTGATTCAGAGTTAACTATTGGGTAGGGTGTGCGTGCTTACTTTAAACTTTGGTCCCACTGCTTTTATCTTATTCTCTAACATCCATGATGTGTTTTCCTTTAGCAAACCATAGTAGCTTGGCTATTCTTACACTTCCTGATTTCTAGGCAGCTTCCCAGATGGGACACGTTTTATTTCATTGGGAACAGAGCAGAGCCCTGCTGCTGGATGGAGCAAGTGTAACTGAAAAGTATGGCAATCAGAATGTAGAATACAGTGTAATGAAACTAGTTGGGCTTTGTAAATTTAGGCCATTGGATTTCTGTGGGTTACAACAAGCAGGAGAAAACCTGTAAGGCTTACAAAGTCTGAGCTGGCATATCACTGCAGTTGGTGCATTGCTCCATGTTTCATAAAGTGGAGTGCTTTAACCTATCCATGTTTTAGTTTATTTTACAGGAGGTGGACATCACACTTCCAGAAAATTCAACTTGGTATGAAAGGTATAAATTTGACATCCCTGTCTTCCATTTGAATGGCCAGTTTCTGATGATGCATCGAGTAAATACCTCAAAGCTTGAAAAACAGCTTTTGAAACTTGAGCAGCAGGTGCTGGAGTCAAACTGATGTCTTCTGATTGATGCAAGTACCCAGATGAGAAGTTTACTTATAGGCATCTTGTGAACTAAGAAAAATACAGTGTATAGTGGGCGGAGCCATAGGAACAACGAGGTCTATTTGTTGAGCTTATTTCCTTTTGTGAGTGTGGATATACTTCTCATGTACTGGACAGTGCCCTGACAGGGAGCAGGCTCTGCAGTCCTGCATCCAAGCAACCGGGGAACCTAACTTTAGCGGAGTAAATGCTTGTACACTCATTAAAGTGGAATGTGAATTGTTAATAACTATGCACAGTTGAGAAAGGGATGTTTTAACGAACACATCCGTATGCAGCCTATTTCAGTGAAATTTAATAATACCTGTTTAAAATTAGCGTTCACTTTTGTTGAGTAGAATAGAATAATTGTCCTAACCAAAAAGACTTCACTTCAGGAAGACAAAAGACACTTAAAGCTGCAGACTGTGTATAGCAGACTCAGCTGTACATGTCATCATGGGATTGGTTTGTAATGTTGAGGACTGCAGTAAGTTATTGTCAATTAAGTTAATTCAACTCATTGTAAGATAGTAACTTTGTCAGATTTGTGTATCTTAGAAAATTTTATTTTAATCATAGCTGAACATATCTAAGCATTAAGTATCATTTTATATAAAATATTAAATGTGGTTTTGTACTCTGATTTCTATTTTGTCAGATATGGCAAACATTAGAATGGATTCACTTAAAAACAAAACTGTCTTTTTTCCTTAAATCACTTCCTATGACGTTCTGTGAACTGTTTGGATGTTATGAGCCACGAGGTCTGTAAGGGCTCAGTGTGACTTAGTCTTAGAATTATAGAATAATGGAGCCTGCTAACCGTAGACATTGTCCTTACATTATACGTGAGAAAGAATCTAACGCTCAGGGAGTTTGAGGGACTTAATCCATGGTCACCCAGCCACTCAGCCACTGGGCCAGAATCTTCACATTTCTAATGTTCTCTGGACTTACATAGTGATTCAAATACAGCAACTCCAGCTACTTGTGGGTTCAGCACAAAGTAAGCCCTCCAAAGTCACTATTAAAAAAAAAAGCCTATAGTGGCCAGAGAGATAGCTCAGTGGTTAAGTGCACTCAATGCTTTAACAGAGCACCCAGGCTCATTCCCAGTACCCACATGTTGGCTCACAAAATAACCCCAGCTCCAGGAGATCCAGTAGGCACATACATGGTGCATATCCATGCATGTAAGCAAAACATTCATACACTTGTTGAACCCTGTGGTAGACAGACTTCTAAAATGATGCCAGTATCCTCATCCTTGTATAATTCGGTCCCCTATGAGGGTGAGTGGAAATGACTTTGGTGTAGCTATGTTATACTATTTGGCAAAGGGAGGGAACTATCTTGGGTATCCCTGCCCTAATTAAGTAGGCCACTGAAAAGCTCCACAGAAGCCAAAGAGGTCATTCCTAGCTACCCTGGAAAGGAAGAAAATATCCCTCTCTTGTGAACTGCCTGTTTGGGGCCACATAGCAAGAAACTGGGGGAAGTCTCTAGGAAGTAAATAGTTCTTGAGACAATAGCCAACAGGAACATGGAGACGTTAGTCATAACTTCAAGGAGGTAAGTTCTGCCAATAATCAATGATTTCAAAGAATCCCTAGCCCTGGGAGAGAACTGTTGCCCTAGATCCTCAACGTCAACTTAGTGAGTCTGAGCAGAGAGTCCAAGTCCTCCAAGCCAGACCTTCAAATACTAGGGTTGGCCCTAAAGGCTGGAATTTGGCTCCTCTGAAGAAATATTATGCTTAGTATTACCATGTTGTCATAGTGCCTAAGAAGTGCAGGGACTAAAGGTAAAATAGTGCTGCATATTTGCTTTATATTGATTATATTTGTTTTATAATTGCTTATATTGAGCTATAATGTTCTATAATTCTAAGACTAACTCACACTGAGCCTTATAGATCTGGTGGCTCATGATACCCAAACAGTTCACAGAACTTCATAGGGAGCTGATTTAAGGGGAAAAAAGACAGTTTTGTTTTTAAATGAATCCATTCTGATATTTTTTTCAAATCTAACAAAATACAAACAAATATATAAGCAAAATATAAACAAAAATGGTAGACTCTTTTCAAACTAAACTTTTACAATATGGCTGGGTACAGTGGTAAACACCTTTACTTCCAGCACTCAGGAAGCAAAATCAGACAGATCCGATCTCTCTGAGTTTAAGGCCAGCCTCTACATAGTGAGCTCCAGGACTGCCAGAGCTACATAATAAAACCCTTTGTCAAAAATAAAGATAAGTCCACAATGTACTTACAAGGTGTTCAGACTGAAGTGGAAATTTCTAGTTTCTTTGAAGATTCAGTTGTATCATGTGATGTTTTTTCTGGAAACTGACTTATGAGAGAATATTTTTGCTGAAGCAGACACGTGAGAGGAAGTTTTGCTGAGAACAGACAAGTTTTTCTGGAAGCAGCCTGGAAAGGGGCATATGACGTTTTGCTGGAGTGGACACTTGACAAAACACATGCTGTTTAAAAGGGTATAAGTATAACCCACCAGACAATGGCTGCTGCTGTATGGCATTGATCCACCTTGCCACTCTTTGCTATTCATTGTTTATCATGACTTCTTAGAAAAAAATGCCACCAAAGAACTTCTGTTGCTGGTTTTCTGTCTGCTTCTTGTCACTGCCACAGACTAGGGCTGATTGGCAGAGCCTTGTGGTTTCCTCTGGATTGAACTGCCGTTGCTGATTCATGAATGGTGTTTGCAAGTGGATCAAGCTAGAGCTGCTGATTTGTGTAAACTGAACGGCTGATATCCTGACAACGCACATTGGATTCTCTCTAAAGAACTATTTCTAAACAAGTCCACATCCTCCTTTGCCCTGTTAACCTTTCCTTTTCACTACCTCTAGTGGGTGATGGGATAAAAGAAAGTTTAAAGCATTTAAGTCCCCTTATTAAAAGTAGGTTTTTTAAAAATCAAAGCCTACATCAAACCAAGGTATTGGCTACAACATTAAAGAAATAATAATGCTAAGTCCAGAAACTATTAGGTCACATGAAGGAATGTGGGAGACAGGAGAAGATACTGAGAGGGTTTGAAGAAAAAGGTAAGAAAGGTGGGTTCTCACTTAGTTCCCACCAAAATTAACAGTGTGGAGTCATCAGCTAGCAAAAGGGGGCTGCACGAAGATCAGAAAGCTGGACGTGAGTACCGAGTAAGAACATAGTAGTCTAACTATGTTTTTAGTAGTCATCTAAGAGATGGATTGGCAGGCCTATTTGTTGTCATAAAGGAAGTTACAATTCTGTTTGTCCAGAATTTAAGACAGGTTGACTGTCATAGCTGATTGGGTTTTTGGGAAGGTAGTGATAGAGGTTTGGGAGACAGCTGTGAGGGCTCAGTGGATGGGCAGTACCTTTGCTTTGGCTGTTGAATGAAACAAGGTACTTATTCCCTGAGACAGAGGGTGAATAAGAAAGTTGGGCTTTGGTTGTGTTTGATGGCTAAAGAAAGTGAAACATGGTTAATTTGCCATACAGTGGGACATCCAGGAACAGATTAAAATCTAAAGTGCAAACCATGGGTCCAGGTTTAAGACTTAAGAGCCACAGGATATGGTTGGAATTTCATCCACTTGGCATAGTAGGAGCATGCACCTGGTATACACATCTTTACACACAAAAATAGAGAAAGTTCCCAGGGATGGGATGAGAGATGACAGAACTGGAAAAGGTGGGAGCTTATCCACTTTCTGTTATGTGATAGCTGTGATTTGATAGTCCCAGCACTGTTTCAAGCACTGGGACTAGCACACCAAACCTGATAGCCAGAGATAATGCTCCCAGGGGCTTGCATTCAAGAAGGAAAAGCACTACATCAATGGTAATATAGCTATCTCCTCAGAAGAGGGGCTTTCCTATAGTACTGATAGCTTGAAATGTCAAGAGACTTAGGACAGGGACTGAAGAGACTTCAGAGTTGAAACAAGGGAATTGATGCTGCTGTAAACTGAATATTCCCCAAGGAGTTGGGTCCTTGTTCCTAGACTTAGGAATGTTACTTACAGTGAAAAGGAACTTGAAAGTGTAGTGCATCTCAACATGGAGAAATCCTATTATCCACATTAATCTCATGTCTATGTAAGAAGGGGATGGGGTTTGACTGCAGAAAGGAAAGGACATGTAGCAATGGAAGCAAGAGGTTAGCCTGATACAAGAAAGAAGTCACAAGCTTAGGAATCTTAGTGGCTTCCAGACACTAGAAAAAGCAAAAGGTCAACAATAGCTCCATAGAGCATGGTTCTCAACATGTGGGTTACTACCCCTTTGAGGTGTGATCTCTCAGCTTCTCTAGTGGCCTGCTGTCATGTTTTCCTCACCATGAAGGACACTCCCTCTGGGACCATAACCAGAAAGAAACTCTTCTGTAAGTTGCTTTTGGTCATAGTATTTAATCAGAGCAATAGAAAAGTTACTAATAATCAATATAGGAGAATACATTTGTGTTCTTGTAAACCACCAAAATTGTTCTCAGTTGTTACCATAGCAATAGGAAGTAGATGCAGTTGTTGACATTTGAAGAACAGGTAAACTGGAAGGAATTACAGAATGAGTCAATGATTCAGAAAGTATCCATTTCTTTTCCTTATTCACTTTACATCCTGCTCACTGCCCCCTCCCACAACCCTTTCCCCATTCTCCACCCCCTCCCTTCTCCTCTGAGAGGGTGGGGGGGTTCCCTGGTTATCCCCCTACCCTGGCACTTCAAGTCTCTGCAAAGCTAGGCATTTCATCTCCCACTGAGGCCAGACAAGGCAGCCCAGCTAGAAGAACACATCCCACATACAGCCAACAGCTTCTGGGATAGCCCCTGCTCCAATTGTTTGGGACCCACAGGAAGACCAAGTTGCATGGCTGTTACATATGTGCACAGAGGCCTAAGGTCCAGGCCGAGTATGGTCTTTGGTTGATGGTTCAGCTCCAAGGGTCCAGGATAGTTGATTCTGTTGGTCTTCCTGTGGAGTCCATTATTCCCTTAGGGGCTGCAATCCTTTTTCCTATTCTTCCATTAGAGTCCCCAAGATCCATCCACTGTTTTGCTGTGGGTGTATGCCTCTGTCTGAGTCAGTTGTTGAGTGGGGCCCCTCAGAGGACAGTCATGCTAGACTCCTGGTATGCAAGTATAACAGAGTATCTTTAAGTGTCAGAGATTGGTGCTTCCCCATGGGATGGGTCTCAAGTTGGGCTGGTTATTGGTTGGCTATTCCCTCAGTCTCTGCTCTATGCCTAGTCCCTGCATTTCCTATAGACAGGGTAAGTTTGAGGCTGAAAGTTTTGTGGGTGGGTTGGTGTCCCACCTCCATTGGGGTTCCTGCCTCACCACAGGAGGTGGCCTCCCCAGACTCCATATCCCCAATGCTGTGAGTCACAGCTAAGGATACTTCATTGATTTTTGGGAGCTTTTTCTATCCTAGGTTTCTATCTACCTGGAGACCACCTCACCCCCATCAGTTGCCGATTTCCATTCATCTCATGGCCATCCTCTCCACCCACTGACTCTCGCTACATCACCCCAAGCTCCACAGCTTCCCTCTCCCATTCAGTTCCCTCCTTCCATCTGCCTTTCACAACCATTCCATTCCCCCCTTCCAAGTGAGGCTCAAGTATCCTTGCTTGTGTCCTCCTTCCTGTCCAACCTCCTTGGATCTGTGGATTGTAGCATGGGCATCTTGTATTTTATGGCTAATGTCCACTTATAAGAGAATGTGTACTATGCATGTCCTTTTGGGACTTTGTTACCTCACTCAGGATGATATTCTCAAGATCCATCCATTTGCTTACAAAATTCACGATGTCTTTGTTTTTCATAGCTAAATAGTATTCCATTTGTGATGTGCCGTATTTTCTTTATCCATTCTTCAGTTGAGGGATATTTAGGTAGTATCCAGTTTCTGGCTATTACAAATAAAGCTGCTATGAACATAGTTGAGCAAGTGTGTTTGTAGGAGAGTGGAGCATCTTTTGGGTATATGCCCAGGAGTGCTATAGCTGGGCCTTGAGGTAGAACTATTCCCAGTTTTCTGAGAAACCACCAAATTGATTTCCAAAGTGTTTGTACAAGTTTGCACTCCCACCAGCAATGTAGAAGTGTTCCTCCTTGCTCCACATCCTCGCCAGCATGAGCTGTCTCTTGAGTGTTTGGTATTAGCCATTCTGATATGTGTAAGATAGAATTTCAGAGTTGTTTGGGTTTGCATTTTCTGATAACTAAGGACTTTGAATATTTCTTTAAGTGTGTCTCAGTTACTTGAAATTCCTCTGTTGAGAATTCTGTTTAGCTCTCTGCTCTGTTTTTTAATTGGGTTATTTGGGTTGTTGGTATTTCATTTCTTACATTCTTTATAAATTGTAGATATTAGCCCTCTGTCAGATGTAGGGTTGGTGAAGATCCTTTCCCAATCTGTAGGCTGCTGTTTTATTCTATTGACAGTGTCCTTTGCCTTACAGAAGCTTTGCAGTTTCATAAGGTCTTATTTTCATTTGTTGATCTTAGAGCCTGAGCCATTGGTGTTCTGTTCAGGAACTTGTCTCCTGTATCAATGAGTTCAAGGGTATCTCCTGCTTTCATTTCTATGAGATTTAGCGTATCTAGTTTTATGTTGAGGTTCTTAATCCACTTGGACTTAAGTTTTGTGCAGGGTGATAAATATGGATCTATTTGCATTCTTCTACATGTAGCCATCCATTTAGACCAGCACCATTTATTGAAGGTGCTTTCTTTTTTTTTTCCATTGTATGGTTTTGGCTTTTTCTTTATGGAGGCATTTAGTGCTATGAACTTTATTTACTCTTAGCATTTTCTTTCATTGTGTCCCATAACTTTGGGTATGCTGTGCCTTTGTTTTCATTTAATTCTAGAAAGTCTTTAATTTTTTTTCTTTATTTCTTCCCTGACTCAGAGATCATTGAGAAGAGGGTTGTTCAGTTTCCACCAATGTGTAGGCTTTCTGGTGTTTCTGCTGTTGTTGAAGTCTAGTTTTAATCCATGATGGTCTGATAAGATACAAGGCATTATTTCAATTTTCTTGTATCTGTTGAGGCTTGCTTTGTGATCAACTATATGGTCAGTTTTGGAGAAGGTTCCATGAGGTACTGAGAAGAGGGGTATATTCTTTTGTTTTTAGGTGAAATATTCTATAGATGTCTATCAGGTCCATTTCATTCATAATGTTTACTAGTTTCATTATTTCTCTGTTTAGTTTCTGTCTCGATGACCTGTCAATTGGTGAGTAAGGTGTTGAGGTCTCCCGTTAATATGGGGTTCAATGTGTGATTTAAGCTTTAGCAGTGTTTCTTTTACAAGTGTGGGTGCCCTTGTGTTTGGGACATAGATGTTCAGAATTGAGATATCATCTTAGTAGATTTTTTTTCCTGTAATGAGTATGAAGTGTCCTTTACTGTCTCTTTGATTATTTTTTGTTGAAAGTCTATTCTTTAGATAGTAGAATGGCTACTCCAGCTTGCTTCTTCAGTCTGTTTACTTGGAAAACTTTTTTCCAACCCTTTAATCTGAGATAATGTCTATTTTTATTACTGAGTTGTGTTTCTTGTAGACATCAGAATGCTAGATCCTGTTTTCACGTCT